CACCGACAAGGTCACAGGCTCCGAAAGAGTTTTTTTTATTTTTGCACACGGACATATTGGTTATGAGCGAAGGAAAGTAATATAATTTAAAATTAATGAAAGGTTCATCTTGAAAACATTTCATTTCAATCAGTTGATTCAAAAATTCCTTAAGTTTCCTTAGAATTTTCAAAAATTCCTTAGATTTCCTTGATTCCTTTTTTTTCCTTCAAACGTCTTTTTTCGGTCAAAATTTCCTTGAAAAAGGAAATTTCCTTGAAAGTGGAATCACTGTCGCATCATGTGAGCAAAACTGATAAAGTAATATTGCTGGATTTATCATGAATTATTAATGAGTTTGAGATGGCCATATATTAAGGTGGCTCAATACAGTTTTTGAAATATGACAAATCGTAATTTAGATTTAATTTTTTAAAAAGCGGTTTTGTTGTTAGAAGACAAAAATTGTGCCACATATATTGAACAATCTTTTAAGAGTTGAAAATTGTTCCCAAAAATGACGTCATTACCGTTGCTATGGTAACAATGACGTTTCAATATGGCCGACATTTTACCTTTTGACACATTTTACTCGAAAAAAAGGCCGCTTACCCCCATTTTTTATTTCATGAAACGTTTTCATGTAGAAAAATGAATGATAGGAACAAGTTTAAAAAATTCTGTAGATCAGAATTTTTTAAAAATTAAAAAACGTGATTTTTCGTGATAAATATTTTTTGGATGTACAGAATTTTTTTAAACTTGTTCACATCATTCATTTTCCTAATTGAAAACGTTTCACGAAATAAAAAATGGGGGTACCCGGCCTTTTTTTAGAGTAAAATGTGTTAAAAAGTAAAATGTCGGCCATATTGAAACGTCATTGTTACCATAGAAACGGTTATGACATCATTTTTGTGAACAATTTCCAACTCTTAGAAGATTGCTCAATATATGTGGTACAATTTTTGTCTTCTAACAAGAAACCTCTCTTCAAAAAATTAAATCTAAATCACAATTTTGTCATATTTCGAAAATGGTTTCCATATGATCGTAACTGTCGCGAACGTGTTGTAACTGTCGTCACAGTAGTGTTCGCGACTAAATGGAAACATGAAAAAGCGTGGCTAGAAGGTCCTATGAAAATCAATATTATTATTATTATTATTTAAAAATCTTTATACACGGTAACTTTTCAGCAATATATACGTACATATAATTTATATAAGTAAACATGCAATAATAAGTAAAATAAAATGCTGCTTTTCAAAAGGCCGTGTGATTACGCTAAAATTACAATTCTTGAATATCAATACAATACAGGACAATATACATAATTACACATATAATACATTTAATACACCATAACCCAGTATATATCAAATCATTGAATCAAGTTAATTACTTTCTTTCTTTCTGAAATGCTCTGTGAGTTCCAGATGTTGGCGGCGGCATAACTGAACGACTTTTTCATTGCATTAGTTTTTGGTTTAGCCAACCCACTGGGGCCAACCTCAGCATTAAGTTGTTACTTCTTAAATTATGGTTATCATTGCAGGAAAACTGAAACATTTCAGTTATTCCCTCCGGGCAATTTTTCTGGAGAGCGTTATTAACATAAGAAATAGTTTGAGAATTACGCCTTTCTTCGAGATTATTCCAGCCTAATTTAGAGAGAACATCTTTTGATCTAATGTCGTATGTATCTCCCATTATGACTCTTGCCGCTCTATTTTAAAGCCGCTGAACTTTAGTTTTTAGTGTTTGGCTACAATTATTCCAAACAAGGGGGCAATAATCAAAATATGGGAGAACTAAAGAATTATACATATAGTTTTAAGGCATCTTGTTTAATGTATTTTTTAGCTCGGCGAATAACTCCTATTGCCCTTGACACCTTAACGCTGAGATTGTCAATATTTTCTTTCCATGCTAAATTTTCATCAATTACAATTCCCAGACTTTTAGTAGTTTTGACTCGTTTTATTTCATTATCCCCAATCCTAATTTTAATTTCATCTTCTTTTTGAAGATTTGAAATTCTCTTATACGAACCGATAATCATGTACTCAGTTTTCTCAGTATTAAGTGTTAATTTATTCGCTGTTAGCCATTCATGAACATTTTCAAGTTCAGTATTCAATCTCACTTCGATATCACTTGCACTTTCTCCAGTAACAGATAAATTAGTATCATCAGCATACTAGCTGCTTTTGATTTATTTAAACAATTAGGCAAGTCATTTATGTAAATTAAAAATAGGAGGGGACCCAGGTTAGACCTTTGTGGAACACCACACGAAATATGTTTTGAAGATGATGTAATATTATTAACTCTACACACTTGAGTTCTTCCATGTAAGTAGGAAGAAAACCATGCTAACGCACTATTTTTGATTCCGTATAATTCAAGTTTCTTAATAAATTAAGATCTGGTGGTCAACCGGCAAACGCTTTTTTGAGATCGAGGAAAAGGACCCCGTTAATAAGGCCAGCATCCATGTTTACTAACCAAGAGTTGGTTGTAGAGAGTAAAGAGGATGTAGTTGAATGGCCTTTTCTAAAACCAGACTGAAATTTTGTAAGAATCTGGTGTTCCTTGAAATAGCGGTTGAGTTGACCACAGACTAATTTCTCAAATATTTTCGCAACGACTGATAGTACAGACATTGGGCGATAATTACCACACTCTTGTTTATTCCCCGATTTATAAATAGGTAAAACTTTGGCCAGTTTCCAATCATCTGGAAAAATGCCAGAAAGAAGAGAGCAGTTATATATATGTCAAATACGAAACGCATATATCACTGGAGTCTTTTAAAATTTTTACTGGTATTTTATCTTGTCCACTCGATTTGGAGACTTTAAGCTTACTCAAAACAGTTTCAACTCAATCATTAGAAACCGATTTGAACTCGAAAACAGCACTAACCGACTGATCAAGATATTCTTCAAATCCTTCATTACTTGGTGGAATCCTGTTGGATAATTCTGTACCAATTTTTGAAAAGTAATCGTTAAAAGTTTCAGCAATATCATCCTTATTCGTAAATATTTGATAATTTGATTTGACTGAAATTACATTTGTTGTTTTAGAGGTTTTACCAATGAGTTGGTTTATATTTCTCCACATTTCTTTAGAGTTGTTTTTTTAATTACTAATTACCTCTTGAAAATAACTAGCTTTCGTATTTTTAATCAATCTATTGACATCGTTCCTAGCTGTTTTG